TATATTCAAACACTAGTACAGATTATCAAATTTAAAGAGCCTTGGAAGCAAGGCCGCTGAGCTGCAGGAAGACATGGGCGTCCGGCCTACCAATCAGTGACTTCTCGCATCACCAGAAGGGGAAACAACTGTCTCCTGAGGTCCCTTATGAGCAGGGTTGCCGTCACCTGAGTCACTGCCATCAACGATACCAGCGCTGAGAGCGCCGGCACTGGTTGGGTCGATAGGTGCAGAAAATCCATACCATGCCACGACGGCGACACCCAGGATACCACAGATACAGCTGAAGACAAGAGCGACGATACCACGAGGAGTGAATCTTCAAAGAGCGTCAGTGCATAAGCCTCGAAAAGCAATGGGAGTAGAGAGACTTACCCAGCAGGCAGAGCCTTGGCAGGTTTATTCTCGCCAGTAAGATCAAGGAAATTCTCAGTATTAGCAGCCGCATTTCCCTTGGTAGGCATATCAGCAGCGGCGCAGGCATCCAGGTGGTTCTTAGGGATCTGGATGGTCTCTTGAAGAGTAAGAGGATCTTCGACGAAGGTGGCGATGAGACCCGACACCACATGCCATTCAATGTGGCAATGGAACAGCCAGACACCTGGAGAGAGTTAATCCTGCGAATCCCTTCTTAAATTGAGTTTTGCCACATACCTGGGTTGTCGGCCTTGAAACGCATAACAATGTTACCGTTGGGATAGATGACAAGAGTATCACGTCGCATAGGAGTTTTGGGCAAATCAGCTTCAGTAACATTGGCATCGGCCCAGATACCAGCCTCCTCTTCGGAACGGTAGATGGATTGGAAAGCGTGTCCGTGAAGATGGAAAGGGTGACGACCCGAATCGAGATTGTTCACGACAATTTGTACAATCTCGTTCTTCTTAAGGACCATTGAGTGTGTGTAAGTGCCATAAACACTTGGATCCTCGGCGTCCTTGCCTGCACTGAGGGCGGTATACAGAGTGGGAACCTTGGCTTCGACGTAGGTAATGTTGTTGAACCAGGCGTAGTTGGCCCCATCCTTGAGATTTTCCATTTTGACATCAAGAGTGAACTCCTGGTCAGGCTTTCCAAGAATGCCCATCTTGTCGTATGGAACAAGCTTCATGTCATCGTGAGGGTCCAAAGCGTCAACAGTAGCGGCGTCTGGCTTGTCAGCCTTTTCATCATAGACGAGCCAGCCGGTGGCATTGTAGTTCAGATCCGGAGGCAGGACATCAAAAAGAGTCTATATGAGATTGTCAGCTAGTGCTTCAGTATCATTGTTAGACTAGCGGAACTCACAGTATCCATGCTGGCAACAATTGGGAAGTTCTTGGAAGTGTCCTTTTTAGTGGTGAGCAAAAAGCTGACACGCTGAGCAGCCGAGATGTAGATCATCTCTGCCTCAGCCTCCTCGGTATAAATACCATCGACCTCGACAATGCGCATCTTGTGGCCCTCAAACCAGAGATACTGGCCGGCAAAGGCACCTATGTTGATCGTACGGAACAGATAGGTCGTTTCGGGCTTGACAGACATTGTGAAGTTGGTGGTTTCGTTCATCAAAGCATTATTGGGCACGGGCTCTGCACCTGAGGGGTTGGCCTTGCTCATGAACTTGGGAATCATGGACCGCATCTCGTCATGATACCAATCAGAAAGAGAAAAGATAACCTCTTCATCGTACTTATCCTTGTAGGGGAAATCTTTATCGTGAACGATGAAGGGAGCACGTAGACCGTCAGGGTATTGAGCAGCAGTGTGACTGTGATACCAATAGGTACCTGGCTGCTCGACCTGTGTGGGTGTGTTAATCAAATATAGAGAGACAGAGGGGATCTTGAGCATTCTTACAGTGAAGTTATATGTAAAGCTGGTTCCAGGAACGATTGGACATTGACTAACACCGGCAGGGCCATCCATATGGGTAGTGCCGTTCATGTAGAGACCATGGAAATGCAGAGAAGTCGATTGATTGCCCAGGTTATTGTGAGCATTGATGATGACCCGATCACCAATGTCAACCTCGATTGTAGGGATTGGCCACTTGCCATTGATGCCAATGACTGGGCGCTCGAAAGCATTGTCAGGATTAGCTCTGACCCAGCCAATATCAAAATCAAACTTTCTGGTAGCTGCAGAAGCGAGATGGGGAAGGGTGAGAAGCAATGCTGCCTCAACTGATAAAGAGTTGAGAAGCATTCTGAAGATGTGAGGGCCCAAGTCGTCCCAGCCTCAGCAGCTTGAACTATACAAGATACGATGGTGAGGATGAGAGACAAGATGAAGGAGGGGAGGGACAGGCCCAAGGAGGGGGGTATAAGAGCTTGGGAGCTTGTAAGACACTGGTGGGAAGCAGATGTCAAGAGTCAAAAAGAAGAACTGGGATAGAGCAGATTGAATAGATTAGATGGATAAAACCGGAAGTAGATTGAGTATAAGATGGGGGTTGGTGGGATGATCAATTTACGGTATGGATATGGGGAAAAGAAGATGCATGCACAGTTTCTCGGTCAGAGTTTGGGTAGCACCAACACCAGAAAAGTAGGTAGTAGTACTCCGTAAGTAAAAGGTGATACCGAGAGCCGAAGCAAAGTCAAGAAATCGCCTAAAGATGATCCAGCTACTGAAATGTCTAGTCTACCTTAGTACCTAGGTAATGACCCTTGCTGTTCCATCCATGCATGCTATGGACATAATTCGGGAAGAACGTCCGACTAGCGAGTCAATTCTGCGGCGCCAAACGTGGTTGACACACAGAAATGAAGCTGGCGCATGATGATTGATAAAAATGCTGAAATGAGCTGATGAGGAGGGTCAAGGCTTTGGGCTGAACCACAACTGCGGAATCGGCGCGCGTGTAGAGCAGGAGCGTGAATGTGATCGTTCTAGACGAGCAGGGATCGGCCTACTCTGTCTGTACAGATGGATAAGATGAGCAGCTGTTGATCCATCGTGGCTTGACAAGGCTTGAAACCATCGAGAAATACCGTCCAAGTGTGAGGTTGAAGGGTTCAGGTGGAGGAGTCATTAACGGTAGAAGGCTAGTGGAGACCTACTCGATTCCACACCTTTCTCCTTTCGGCTAGTGGAATGCTGAGTGATGACTCCACTCTGAGCTTCATCTTATCAATCGCGACCTCTTCCTCGTGTTCCTCTCTCTCCTTCAATGCCGCTAAAGCTTCTTGACATATGATTCGCTTCGAAAGAGGCCAAAGAATTGAGTTCTTCCCAAGTGGTACCACATTTTTCGGCACAGACACTCCCGATCCCTGGAAGCTCATCCAAGGGTCCACGATCTTCTTTTCTCTCCCTGCAGAGTGTCTAGTGTGCATAGACCCTGCCCAGCCTGCCTTAGCCTGCCTATCTTATGCCAAGCCGGGTCACCCACAGCTATCACAGGCGCTGCAGCCTCTTGGCGATCGCTTCTGCCCTCCAAATACCGAGGACTCTTGGCTCTGTCCATCCAGTTTTCGATCAGAAGCAAAATGCATTTTTAGAGTGAACGCTTCTAACGACTTATTTTGGTTTCAAGGAATAGCAAGCCCTTGCGAAAAAGAGGATCCAGCGACATACCAAAGCCGAAAACAGCAGCCACATGGTCTCGATTTGACTTGGACGATCATGAGTGGGCCCTTCAACGGTCGAGAAGCCATTCCATGGTACCAGCAACCAAAGAGTGGTCTGACAACGGACAAGCCTCAGCATCACAAGCGAACCCGAGATCTTGACGAGCCATGCAACTCAGAATTTTCAGCCGCGGCGTTCTCTAAGTCTAATCCTTGATGCTATTTCGTTTAGCTTGCCTTTGTCGCCCGTGGTTGCTTCGGATCAGATAATGATTATCTCCTGATCTTTTTGATATGATAACTTTGATCTTGAATCAGAAGGTCATAACACCCTCGACCCTCAGCCGCTTGCCTAGATGCAGCTGCGTGGGTGCGGCTGAACTGTCACGACCATCCATCTCGACGGAACATCGCCGCTTCGGAGGGAATGCAGTTGATAAGATTCCAAATTTGCCTCATCTGAAAGTCAGGGCTTGGATATCATACTTTCCAGAATACAGTGACCGCAGCTTTTCCGAATACTACTACAACGATCCATGTCAAGTCGATACAAGCACGAGCATATCGGCATTTGACTCTTGACTGGGATCCGAGGTCACATTGTGGGGTGCTATGAGACACCGAGCTATCCTAAGCTTCCACCAATGTAACTTCATCAATGAGTCTTCTTCCATTCTTGCTTTGGACCTGAATTTCGAGCTGTCCGGCCAGTTCAGCTCGAAGAAGTGTGTGCAAAATGAGGGCCCCAAAGTCACTTCAACTTAAACGTTAAGCATCAAAATAAGAAACAGCCCAATTGCGGGAAATCTAGGACATTCACACCCTGAATCTGCAGTCACAGAATTATCTGATTGATTGATTAAGGTCGCCCCATGAGGAAACATCCCACGTTACGGCAATTCCTTGCCGAGCGTCGACGAGCTAACTTAGCAGCAGCAAGCCACCAACCATCCAACAACCCAAACAAGCCCGATCATGGGCTGTTTTCTGACCATTGCTCCGGTACTCGGTAGCTCGAGTTTCGTTCTCGACCAGGTTCTCATGCCCGATATTTTTTTTTACATTCCGCGCTTTACCCTGCTGATCCTTGCGGCTTCTCAAAAGTGCAACTCGTCTAAGTATACGCTTAGCCAACAAGCTTAGCTTACAAGGTTGTTATGCGGATACTAAATCAGATCGTGTGTCTTTGATCCCCTGCTCGAGCTTTTCTTCTCGTAAGAGTAGAAAAAGTTATCAGATCGGCAGCCTGTGATGACTGGATCACTCACAAGCTGCTCCAATCCTAAAACGAATCAAGTGTAACATCAAATCCAATATCTCCGTTACCACACCCTCTCCTTGACAATCTCATACTTCTCACTTGACTGTATCACCTTATACTTGAGCTTAAGACAGCTCTCTCCCAAGTGACTCAACTGCACAACACTAACGCTATCAACTGTCAACATGGCCGTAGACGTCTTTGCGGTTCCCGTCTTCCTTGTTGTCTTTCGAGAGACTCTTGAGACAGTCATCATCGTTTCTGTCTTGCTTGCTTTCCTCAAGCAAACCCTTGACGGTCCCAATGGTGACATCAAAGTGTACAAACAGCTGAGACGTCAGGTAAATCAATAGAGATAATCCCCCACACCTGCCATGGATACTGACTAGAGTGACAGGTCTGGCTTGGAACGGGTATCGGTTTCTTCATCTGCTTGGTTGTCGCCGCTGCTGTCATTGGTGTCTTCTACACCGTTGGCAGGAACTCATGGGAGAAGAACGAGTACTACTACGAAGGTGCATTCTGTCTCTTTGCGTCCCTAATCATCTCCGTCATGGGCGCAGCTCTGCTCCGTATCGGAAAGATGCAAGCAAAGTGGCGAGTCAAGCTGGCAAAGGCACTCGAATCGCCAATCAAAGCTGGTTCCAAGGGATGGTTCAAGCAGTTTATCGAGAAGTACGCTATGTTCGTCTTGCCTTTTGTCACCGTCCTTCGAGAGGGTATTGAGGCTGTCGTCTTCGTCGCTGGTGTTTCCTTTTCTGCTTCGGCCAAGTCTATTCCTCTCCCAACTGTTGTCGGCCTCTTTGCCGGTTGCTGTGTTGGCTATCTTCTTTACAAGTAAGTGCTATATATACAATTGTGATGACCTTCAGCGACTAACTGGACCCAGGGGTGGTGCGAGCACCAAACTTCAACTCTTCCTCGTTCTCTCGACCTGCCTCTTGTACCTCGTCGGTGCTGGTCTCTTTTCTCGCTCTGTCTGGAGTTTCGAGATGGCCAAGTGGAACGAGTACATTGGTGGTGAAGCTGATGAGTTTGGAAACGGACCTGGTTCCTATGATATTGACCAGAGTGTCTGGCACGTCAACGTATGTCTTCATCTAACAAGCTCATCTCAATATCCTAACAAGCCTTTAGTGCTGTGCCTCCACCGAAGCTATTCAGAACGGCTGGGGTATCTTCAATGCCATTCTTGGCTGGACAAACTCCGCTACTTATGGCTCTGTCATCTCCTATAACCTATACTGGGTTTGCGTCATGGTTGGTTTCATCATCATGCGTTTCAAGGAGACACATGGCAGACTGCCTTTCGGAAAAGCAAAGGCTCCTGCCAGTGCTGTTGATGATGCTGAGAGCCACGCAAGCTCAGCTCCCAAGAACACTGCAACAGAGAAGACTACTACCGCTTAAGAGAACATGTGAGAAGAGAGTCGAGGACTCATCTGCGGACGGCTCATTGTATAATTCACTTAGGTTTCTAACGACTCTATGAGTCTAGCTTGGTCTATATCCAGTTGCACGCAACAAGCAACTCTTGTTCTACCTTATCAATTTTCAGGAGTCCAATCCCATTCATCCGCCATGAACATAGCCTTTGCCATTTTGTCTACATAAAGTGCTCCTTCGTAGCGTAACCTTTGATCGTTGGAAATCGCACGTGTAAACTGAAACTTTTTGGGTGCGTTATCTTTGTCGTCGACAGCGTGTTCTTTCAGAGCCAGCCACGAGATTTCTGTCGGCCTCCTTTTCCACTCGGCATACGGTATCGCGATGACACCAGCTGAGAGCATTGACCGCATATAACTCAGGATTGGTTCCAGTCGAACTCGTAACCCGCAATTCGTATGATGCTTGTCAATCTGATAACTCGGGCACTGTTGAAGCGTTGAAAGGAGCTCCTCAATCTCGACCATCGCAGTGTCAGGAACCATGTTCAGCGACGCTGGGCTGTAGTCAACGAGGAAGAGCAAATTCTTGTTCACCAGGAATTTGAGCATTTGACCAAGCTGATAAGAGTCACATGCCGCACTCGAGTCATACCCGAGCTTACACTGCCTCTCTCGAGACGAGAACAATGCGAGGAAATGCCGTTGGACAGAGGAGACGGTGTTGAGGATACACTCACGCCTATGTCGGAGCTCCTCTGGACAACAATTAGCAGTGCATCTGCACCTCGAGCCTTAGAGTTTCACTTACCCTCCAAGCCATCAGGCAGATTCCACCATGCAGCAGTCATATCAGCATCAGTATCATAAAACTCGCTCCAGAGAGTTGATCCTCGCATGATGAGTTCTCGAGTTGACTGTTGCAGGCGCATGGGTTGTCCTAACAGCCACGCGACCAAAACCTTTTGACGCAAGACATGTTCTGTTTCTGTAGGCCGTCCGTCGTCACTGCGCAGCGGTTTGTTTGACGTCAGCGGCCATTTGAACTTGAGGCCCGTGTTCAGAACCCGAGCAACAGCTGCCACGCAATCAAAGCGATCAGCAACGATTGCCAGCGTGGTTACGTATGACATGGTTCCACGTGAAGTCTTGGTTGGACGCTGGTGTATGATATTTAGAATATCTTCCATGGCATTTTCACGACCAGCTGCTTTGGTTGCATCATCATCATCGGTGATGGGAATCCAGGGTAAGTCCCCGGGATCTGCCTCGTTGACTTTGATCTTAAGCTGGGCAAGCTTCTCATGTATATCCGAGATAAGCTTGGCTTCCCTGAATTGAGAGTTCGATAAGAGGTTTGAAAAGTACTTTGAGTGCTTTTTCAAAGCTCCCAGATTGACCCGATATGCCACCCGAACTTTTGATTTCAAAGATGAGCGATCTGGGGGCTGAGTACCAGCTTTTCTGCTGGCAGCAAGCTCAGCCTTGCGAGTTTTGTTGAGAGTACTGATGGAAGTCTCAAAGGTTACATCCAAGACAATGTCACCAGCAGGATCGATTTCTACCAGGGGAGGCAGATCTTTCTTAGAAGCCTCTGGCCCGTCCGCCTCGGCGGATGTTGTAGTCCCAGACTCGCCCATTTGCTAGGTGATGGGTTTCTGTCGACATGGAGATGTCAGTCAGCCTGTGTAGAGGCCTGAAGTATTGAAAGGCCGAATGCCGGGTGTTGATAGTGTTTAGGTAGTTAAGAAAAAGTCTTTAAAGCGTGCTATTCATCGTGAAAATGATAAGATCTTGGGCTCTGCCCGGTTGGGATGACGTCCAAAGGGAGGTAGCCTGAGTACGTACCCCGCCACTGTGACGTTAAAATCCGAACTCCAGGGAAACACTTCAAACAACAGAAGCCTTCGCTTCGGGTATTTTCCGTCGACATTCACATAAGAATTAGTTAAGATCACGGCTAGAGACTTATTCATCAAAGCTATACATCCTTACAGTTTGTATACCCCAAATACCCCTTATTCATTACCCTTGTAGGTGTTATGTGGACTGTTATAAGTGGTACGCCTGGGACTGTGAAGTTTCACGGAGTCAGCCACGGAGCTCCCTGAGTCGTTGGTTTTAGCGGTTGAACGAAGATTCCCGCCCCTGACTCCCGATGGAATCCCCGCTAAATTCTCGTTGTGCCGCCTGAAGCCTGTGTTTTGTGGAACTTGATTGGGCAATCTTATCTAAGTGCGAGACCACCTTTGGTAGGCTCCACTTGGGAAGTCAATATCCAATATCGTCACTTTCCGACGAGCAACTGAACACCCGATCCTTTATCCTTCACTCATTTCCATGGTCATGTTTTGTTCCTAGACTGACAAGATCATCTACTGAATTGGCTTGGATTATACGGCTTTCTGATTCTCATACAGACAACTCGACGGCTTCGTTTGGTCCTTCCACCCGATCAGGAATCAGCCAAATCCTATACCATCCGCTCCCTCACGCTATTAACTTTCCACGACTCGCCCGATGGCATTGCAGACTGTAGCCTGCACAGCGCTCCAGTTCTTCAAGGGACGCTGATGACCGAGGACTGGCAAAGCCAGCTATATACACCCTTCTTTGTCGAGCATCGACAATGGCCCAATTTACTCGCGCCATCGATTCAACAGCAACCCCTGCGATCCAGCTCCTTAAGATCTCAGCCCGACCGTTGACAACCTTGAATCGCTTCGCCCATACAGACGCGCTACAGCGGGCACCAAGAAATAATAGGCATATCGATTATACCCGGCTTACGACGTTCTATTCGACATGCGCGACATTGACCGGAAGTTCGCGACAGGCTCGGCTTACACGCCCGGGGTCGCAGCTTGGGTTATCCTCGCCACTGGCAGTTGAAACATACGGCACACAAGGATTCCATACCTACTTTGTGACACATCTCCCTTCATCATCTGTCCATCCCGACTCTCGTCCTCGTGGGCCTGGCCATAAACTTCCTCGCGATGCTGCGACCCCTCACACCCCAAGCTCCGGCCCAGTCCCCGCTGTCACCCCGCCTTATATCCCGTCAACCCGAGACTTGACTGTGGTACGCATTCCCATGCGGAGGGCAAAACACCATCTTGGTGTCGCGACAGATCGAGGAAGTCGTCCCTACAATGAAGATCGAGAACAGGCTGGCACCATCAGCCTTCCGGCCTTCGCCAAGAGAGCACCCAGAAGCGTGCAGCAGAAACCAGGGGAAGCTACAGCGGCGGATAGTGCTTGGGGAGACCCTCAAATATTCTACTTTGGCGTTTTCGATGGTCATGGTGGAACCGAATGCGCAGATTTCGTCCGGGATGAGCTACCAGGTTATATAGAAAAAGCCTCGGAAGAGTTCGGCCTGCAGAGCAGCTTGCGGAAGAGGAAACCTGGTCGTGAGGGTATCCATAACCATCACCATGATCATAAGCACAAACAAGTTCGTCCATCACAGCCGATTCAGTCGACCAAGAGCCCCTCAACAAAACGTGAGGCGCTCGACGCTGTGCCCATGAAGGGGCCAGAAGAGGTTAAAAGCGAAATGAATGTCCCCAGCGCAAGCAATGGCGGCCTTTCCGATAAACCCGTACATGGGGAGCGCATACACAGCGCAGCATCGCCGGCTGCCCCAGTTTCAGACCTGGCCAAGGCGATTCGTATGGAGAAAAACCTGGTCAAGGAATACAGAGAAACCATCGGTGGCTATTTCAGGCGCTTTCACCCCGAACACTTTGTTCTCTCGCGAGATGACAACCCAGGCGAAGGTCACAAGATCACGATAGAATCAGTGCTCACATACGCCTTCCTTCGTGCCGATCTCGACTTTGTGTCTGCCCAAGCTCGAAAGATAGACCCAAACGATACAAAAGGTGCCGATACTCCTGTTAATAACGATGAAGTCTTCGGTCACCCATCTACACCCTCTGGTCACGGTATAGGAGGCCCGGAGCGCTTTAAAGGAGGTTCGACGGCTTCTGTAGTACTTATCTCTACTCCAACGCCTGCTCCATTTTGGCACCCAGCCGCCCAGTCCACGTTGTTATGCGCCCATGTTGGCGACAGTCGTATCCTTCTTTGCGATACCGCCACTGGTTTAGCACAGCCTCTAACATCCGATCATCACCCTAGTACACCTACCGAAAGCCGCCGTTTGCGACGCTATGCACCTGCTGGGTCAATGGTTTCTGGCGATAGTTTCGGCGAGGAGCGCATTGCAGGCCTAGCCAACAGTCGTGCATTCGGAGACATGGGGAGTAAGCGTATTGGAGTCTCAGCAGAGCCAGAGCTTACACGAGTTGAGATGGGTCCTGCCCAGTATTCATTCCTTGTGCTGATGACTGATGGCATCTCTGGCACTCTAAGCGACCAAGAGATCGTCGATGTTGTCAAGGAAGCCCGTACGCCCGAAGATGGAGCTCGAAACATCGTTAAATACGCCACTGAAGTTTCTTCCGACGGCGATAACGCAACATGCCAAGTCGTCCGTCTAGGTGGTTGGGAGCGTCGATCTGAAGGCGGACTCGGCAGCTTGGGTACCAAGGAAATTCGCGACGCACGCATTGCAGAAGCTCAAGATCCGAGACGAGGAAAGAGGTAGTGGCACTACATCATCATGAGAAGACGTTTTTGTTTGGATACACGGTGGGAGGGGGGGTGGGAGAGAGTCTTTCAATGGCGGGATCGCGGGCCAGAACCTACGATGGAGCATTCGGCTTTATTTTTTAACTCGGGCATGTCGGCTTCTTTTATTCTCATTTGTACTGCATGGGATCAGGAGTTCTCGGGATTAACAGATGGCGACATAGCGTGCGCTCAGGGAGCAGCATCACTTGGGCTATATCGCTTTGATACCCAGCCAAGATGGTAGATATGCAGCGTTAGATGAACGAGAATGTACGGTATTTCATAATGCTGCTATTGACGAAGGAAACATAACTTTCTTTAGTGCCACAAAAAACCAGCTGCCTCTTCTCCCCTGGGTATTGGATATCAAAACGGCCGTTACCAATTCATCTCAGCCTTTGTCCTTGGCTGACCCTAAAAGTTCCTTATCCAATGCCCTAGTCCGTAGTCGTATACATCCTTCCTTCCTTATGTTTTTTATCTTGCGTTTAATCCGATCCTTCTAGTAACCGTGTCGTGAACCAGGGTACTGGCCCCATCCAGGAGGCTGCTGGCCAGGAGGCGGTCCACCATAGCCCTGCTGACCGTACGGAGGATATTGAGGCGCACCGTATCCCGGGCCGCCGTACTGTTGAGGGGGAGGAGCGCCGTATTGACCTGGGGGAGGAGCTCCATATTGACCTGGGGGAGCTCCGTACTGAGGTTGAGGGGGTCCTCCATAACCACCACCATATGAAGGTTGGGGTGGAGGAGCACCATATCCACCTTGCTGAGAGTGTCCCGAGTTGGAAGCCGCGTAGTTGGGGTTCTGACCGTATTCAAACGAAGACTGGCTTGGTGGTGCAGGAGAACTTGAGAGGTAGCCTGCAGCAGGATTGCCATCTTTACCCTCCATTGAGTCAAGGTCGCGGGTCTTGACTTGAGACCACAAGGATCCGGCAACCTTGCCATGCCCAGCATTAGCCATATCGCCAAATGTCCCATGGTTGCAGCCGCCACCACCGATGCTGCGGCTGTTGCCCTGGACTTGGTTAAGAATGTGGTTCTTATGATTCTTGACTGAGTCGGAGGAGAGAAGATGAGCAAGCTCGTGGCGGCGGGGGTGCTCGTCAGCCCACTTCTTGACAGTCTTGAACATGTCACGTTGGATCTCGATATGATCGTCCCGAGCAGCAGGGTGGTGGAAAGCACGCAGGACATCGTTAACGACTTCGTCGACAGATACGCCAGTGTTTTCCCAAGCATAGAGGACACGACTAGGATGGTTAGCTATGATGATTGTTGCAGGACAGTGGGGTTGGCTTACGGAACTGTATACTGGAGAATGGTAGCGGCGATACGTCCAGCACATGAGTTCAGGATATTGGTGAAATGGTCCTTGGATAACATGGAGTGAGTGGGATCAGAGCACTGGGGGTTGTCCCAAGGCTCATATTGAGATTTAGCACTGGCCGTGATGACGCCGGAAGAACCGTCCTTCAGAACCTTTGAGACCTGGTTGATGATAGGTCGGATGAAGGGAGCAAGAAGACCCAAGATGAAGGCAGTGAGGGTCTCGCTAATCTTCTCAAGAAGTTTCTCAAGGCCCGGGACCTTGGAAATACCGCGGCTGATGGCCTTGACAATTTTGTCGCGGAACTCGAGAATAGGATAGATCTTGCGGGCTGTCTCAACAGGATCGAAGTCGGGACTCATGCCGGGCACCTGGTTAGTATTGTCACGAGAGAGGTCACCGCGGGTCTGCTGGTAGCTCATGTTGCGCTGTTCTTGAGCTTCAGAGCTGGCCTTCAGGTCTCGAGCCTGAGCGGCGAATCCGTCACCGACGCCGGGAAGCTTTGAGACCAAGCCGATGAAGTCAGAGGGACTGGACTTGATTCCGAGGAAACCTCCAAGCAGGGATCGTTCACCACCGCCACCACCGCCGGATCGATTGGAAGCGCCCTCGGCGTTCTTGAGTGCAACATCGACTTCGTCAACCTCAGACTGCGTGAAGTGATCCGAGGCCTCTCCAATGACGGAATGCAAGAAGTCGACGGCGCCAAATGTGCCGGTCACAAGGGGATATACGCGCTTTCCATGGAGATGAATCTCGGTATGCGCACCGCAGTGAGGGAACACAGAATGGTAGCCAAGCTCTCGAAGGGCAAGCTCACAGTAGTTGCTGTGGGCACTGAAGTCTTCCATGGTGTGCAGCGCCTGGCCAAGACATCTCAAAGCCTCGCAGAGGTCATCTTCGTTTCCTTTCTTGGAACCGCTGGTGTAAAGACGACCATAATGGATGCTTCTGGCGAAACTATATCGCAGATAAGCGGCGCTGGTTGCCCAATTTCCATTCTCGTTGGCGATATAGTTTTTCATACCAGTTCGAGAGTCAATTTCGGTTTCTATCTTCTCAACGGGCCCTCGCAAACGTTTATCGAAAGTCCGCGCATCAACTCCATCTCCGTAACCGAGAGGATTGTCGATGTGTTCTTCTGGACGATAGACGCCGAGACGGTCCGAGGTAACTTCGAATTCGCCGGTGGCATAGCCGTGAGCCATGAAGGAGAGAACCCAAACCTGTCGGTCAAGTAAGCATCACAGAGTCATTCATTGGAGGCGCAAAGTGACGGCTCATACAAGAATGCGAATAGTCTCGGCATTGACACCCTTCAAACTGCCGATATCAACGGCCTGGGAATAGTCGCGTAACCAATTTCCAAAGTAGGTACGTTTGATAAGCATAGAGGTCCATTTCTTTCCGTGAAGGAAGGCGATCGTCTCGAGCATATCCTCAATGTCTGAAAACGATGTGAGCAACGCGATGTAACGGGATCGATGTGGCGGGGTAATTTACCTCCATGGCGCCAGTTGTGACCTTCGACCTATGCGCATGTCAATAAGGGGAGAGAATTGGCCGTGGATGAGGATCTAATACTGACCTGCGCAATTGAAGGAATGTTTCCAGCACCAAAAGCTTCAGCTTTGCCGGGAAGCAGGATGAGGCATACTGCGATCAGCAGTAACCACGAACCCCGCGGCATGGAGAATGACGGCATGGTAAGTTAGTGATGCAGCCCTATGGCGGGGTTATTGAGCAAGGGGCGTAATGCGAGTAGAGTCTAAAAGGTCTAGAGGGATAGGATAGGTAGCAAGATAAAGGACAAGATTATGGTCGCAGCAAGAGGCCAGGAGGAGGTTTAAAAACTTGATATGCCAAGAGAGGAAGAGAGTGAATGTGACATGCAGATTAGGTACCTTAGTCGACCTAGAGCAGGTCACACTGATGACGGGATTTGTTGTGGCTGGGCTTGGGGTTCGTTGCTAGGAGGGAGGGAGTAAGAAGTGGCTCCAGCTTTCAGCTCCCGAAGGTGATTCCTGATTAGCATTGGACGTGGCGCTCCTTGGGCTGATGGGATTTCCGCTTCAGGCACATGCTAAACAGAGGCCTAGGCTAAGATTGGGTAGCAAACGGTTGGGCGAGAGGCCTCTCAAGGATGAGCTCGACCTCGACTCTATTCGAGTTGGTTGCGAAGCTCAACCCACTATCTACTTGTGGCTCGGCAATTGAAGATGAGGCTCAGCCAGACGATACGTAAACCGGATGTCTTGGCGTTTCAATTCCCAGGACTGTTCAATACTACCAGTAAGTTGAAATACAATACAATAGAATCCATTCTAGAGACAAGACCTAAGCTTACCTTAGGATAAGGAGTCTGCTTGCTCCTCGAGGCCTGTGTAGGCTGACGTTGATTGCTGACTTCCAGGTTGTTGGGTGGTAAGAGGGCTCACTTACATCTATCTCTGTATTTGGGTAAATCGACTAAGGACATCATACATCACGGAGTCCCTGCAGACGTCACACTTTACCTTTCGAGTACTGTGACATAATCCTCTCCTATACTGAACGGCCCGCTCATATCATATTCTCAGGGTAGCACGTTATGCTGTGGAAGAACCAGTGGGTAGTTAGTCAAAGACGGGCTTGAGATTTGCTTGGTGGAGCTCATCGGGGCAATAAAGGAGATCCGGCTTCTTCGGAAAATAATCCTTGGCAGCACAATGCTGTAATCAGAGCATACGGATCACAGAGATTCCGCTGTTGTCTAAATAACATCCGGGTTATTTCTTGTCCACGCTGAGGAGGTAAATACAATTGGAACTCGTAAGCCCATCGATCGACTGATCGATAGACTCTTCGGTCCCGAATTACCTGGATAGGAAAGATAGCATAAGCGAACGATAAATAACATATACATTATCTGAGTGCCTGGAAGCTGACATTTAGATACGAATATTACGATTACGATGTATAGGTAGGCAGAGTGTATAAAAACCTACCTCACAGTGCATGATGATATCGAGTCTTGCATGTGATGTTGCAATGTCCATAGCAAAATGCCAGATTGTTGTTACTGTGTAAATAAATCTCGATCTACTTTCAGCATTTATTACAGGCTCAGCAAGGCGTCAATTGCAGGATATTAGGTAGGGACCATGTTGCCATCACTAGCACTTGATCATTCTCCTCAACCTCAACCGTCCAAAGACCAATCGTCCACCGCTAATTTCAGTACAATCACTGTCTTATTTGTCGTTCCGGCAAATACTCTGATATCAGGCCTTTCATCCCGATGTTGTGGCATGTTTTATGGCCATTGTAGCGCCACTCTACTGCTAACACGGATGGGGATCCTCATTAAAAAAAAATATCCCCTGGATGGACCCCTGTGCGGCGACATTGACTTGCCGCTCACGCCGCCCTTTCATTCATTCCCTTGACTATTTGATAATAAACCTTTTTTAAACTTAATCCTTAACCCTCCCAAGTTTTCAATCATTCTATCCCTCACTCTCCTTCAGTTTCCCTCCTTTTTCACTCCTCCTTGGTTGTCGACAAGGAGCATCTCTGCTTGTGCGCTGCTTCGATCGCCTTGTCTCCCCATCCTCACCTCGACCCGTACGTTCCGACCGCTGCTTCAACAAAATGCCTGGACGTACTCTACCAACTTTCACTCGCGCTGAGGTGGAAGCGCATAACTCGGGTGACTCCTGCTATGTCACCATCGGCAACAAGGTCTACGATATCACCGATTTTGTTGAGGATCATCCTGGCGGTCCCGAATATATTCTCGAATACGCCGGCCGCGACATCGAAGAGATCCTCAAAGATTCTGATTCTCATACACACTCTGACTCTGCCTACGAGATTCTCGATGAGAACCTTGTCGGATTTCTCGTCTCTGAAAAGGCTGTAAATGGACACGCCAACGGAAAGGCCAACGGCAACGGAAACGCAAAGCTGCCCAATGGTGAAGCCAACGGAGACGCCAATGGCTCCGTCCACCCCCGAACCGGAATGTCTTGCGCGGAGGACTTGAGCAAGGATACAGACTATAATCTGGACTACAAGAAGAACAAGTTCCTCGACCTGAACCGACCCCTCTTCCCTCAGATCTGGTTCGGTGGTTTCTCCAAAGAATTCTATCTTGATCAGGTCCATCGCCCTCGCCACTACAAGGGAGGCCAGTCTGCGCCTCTGTTTGGTAACTTCCTTGAGCCTCTCTCCAAAACCGCCTGGTGGGTTGTTCCTATGGTCTGGCTGCCTTGCGTTGCGTACGGTACCTGGGTTGCTTCTCAAGGTTTTGACAACCAGCTCTTCACCTTGGGCTACTGGCTATTTGGCGTGTTCTTCTGGACCATAATTGAATATGTCCTGCATCGCTTCCTGTTCCATCTTGACTAGTATGTTTTCCGATTATTTATTCACTCCCGAGTTTGCCGCTGACTGTTATAGCTACCTGCCCGACAACCGTGTTGGAATCACACTTCATTTCATCCTTCACGGCATCCATCATTATCTCCCTATGGACAAGTATCGTCTTGTTATGCCTCCCACGCTCTTCGCCGCTTTGGCTGCTCCCTTTTGGAGGTTTGCACATGCTGTACTCTTCCACAACTGGTATGCTGCTACTGCAGCCTACTGTGGCGGTATCTTTGGATACGTCTGCTACGATCTCACGCATTACTTCCTTCACCACCAAGACCTCCCTCTGTGGTACAAGGAACTCAAGAAGTACCATCTTGCTCACCATTTCCTTGACTATGAACTCGGTTTCGGTGTGACGAGCAAGTTCTGGGACAGTGTGTTTGGCACTGAGCTGGTCTACAACACCAAGAAGACGAAATAAGTCTGTAATAATGTACTAAATCTGCCTGGCGCAAGGAGAACCAATTCAAGCCAGGACACAGTATATATCTGTCTTGTTTTCATAGTAGTTGGTGAACACTGAGTTGTACGGAGCAGTCATGATTTTATGGATGGTAACGAACATGGTGGTCACTGACATTAATGGCGATGAATCATTCTCATAAATAGTTTTAATGGTTGGGACTGGTTTGCCCAATGGGTCGGTCTATTCTTGGACAGAGTTATTTTAATAATGAACCTTTTATTGGATATTTTCTACTTCTCTCCATTGCTTCTCTGCTTCACGGTATCTCGCGGCATTGCCGACGTGGTGGCTGCTATAATCGCCACGTGTCTCGTCACGTGCAAGCCATTGGGGACTTTCCGTCCAGCCAAAAGCTTGACCCATCAGGAGTTTTCAAGGCAACCTCCCCCCAAAAACTTCTCACCCGACGACAATAATTATCAAATCACCCGACAGACGAGACTCACAAGCAACCGCATACCTGGTGCTAAATCACAAACGAGCCCTAAATCGGAGTTTTCCCAGACTTACGCAGACATCATGGCTACCTTGGACGTGGAAGCACTCCTGGACGCCACCGCTAAGGATACCTCTGAACAGAAGACTAAGAGCCCTGTAGAGGATAGAGCACGAGATGAGGCCGAACGGAGGGACAGGGAACGCGATCGTGGCCGTGATAGAGACGGAAGTCGACATCGCGACCGCGATCATGGGCGACGCCGAGATCGCAGGGACAGCCCTAACCGAAGCCGTAGGGGTACACCCGATGTAGGAACGCCTCGAAGCGATGCTGGAAGCCATAAGAGTAGGAGGAGAAGCCGCAGCCGCGATAGCGACCGTCGTCAATCACGCCGAAACAGAGATGGTGATTACTACAGAGGTGGACGACGTTCACGTTCACGATCTCGCTCTCCTTACCGCCATTACCGCCCCCGTGACGACCGGGATCACCGTGATCGCAGAGACCGCGACCGAAGAAACCGCGATTATGGACGCGGCCGTGATGACGAACGTCGCGAAACTAAGCGTGAAGAAGGCAACCCCCAGCTTACCGAGGACGAAAGGGATCGTCGCACTGTTTTTGTGCAGCAGCTTGCCGCTCGTCTGCGCACTCGCGAACTCAAGGAATTCTTTGAGAAGGTTGGACCTGTCAATGAGGCTCAAATTGTCAAGGACCGTATTAGCCAAAGATCCAAGGGGTAAGCTAAGCCATACAAAACCTATTCGAGAGTCTGATCACTAACAATGTGCAGAGTTGGTTATGTCGAGTTCAAAAATGAGGAATCCGTTACCCAGGCTCTACAACTTACTGGACAGAAGCTTTTAGGTATTCCTGTCATCGTACAAGTCACAGAAGCCGAGAAGAACCGGCAAGCCCGAAACCCTGAAGCTTCGGGACCTCACCCCAATTCTATCCCTTTCCACCGCCTTTATGTCGGCAACATCCACTTCAACGTTACCGAACAAGACTTGCAGGCTGTCTTTGAGCCATTTGGTGAGCTTGAATTCGTTCAACTCCAGAAAGATGAGAACGGCCGCAGCCGCGGCTATGGCTTTGTCCAGTAAGTTCTTCTATCCATTCACTGTACTAATTGCTGACATTCCCAGGTTCCGTGATGCTGGTCAGGCACGAGAGGCGCTGGAGAAGATGAACGGCTTTGATCTAGCTGGACGTCCTATCCGCGTCGGACTCGGAAACGATAAGTTTACCCCTGAGAGTACTGCCAACATGTTGCAGAGATTTTCCGGACAGAATCAAAACCAGAACTTTCAAGGTTCAGCATTCTCTGGTTCCGGCGGACGAGGCCCTCAGTCCTCAACCTTCGACCGAGCTGGCGGTCGAGACAACGAGAAGACTGGAGGTGCTAGTGCTCTTGATGACACCGACGTCGCTGGTGTGAACTTTAACAACTATAGTCGCGATGCATTGATGAGGAAACTCGCTCGAACCGATGATAGCGCCACCAACGGCCATGACGAGCGCCAGGTGCTTAAACCCAAGACAGAGACGAAGCCATTGCCTGTTAATGTCAACATGGCCAGTCGCTGCGTTGTGTTGCACAACATGTTTGATCCTGAAGAGTACGTGTCTCTTCCATTTCATTTTACACAAATGCTGACATTTCGCAGAGAGGAAGGCACCGATTGGATCAAGGAGCTTGAGGACGATGTTCGTCAAGAGGCCGAGAGCAAGTATGGACATGTGGTTCACATCTCGGCTGACCCCAACTCCAAGGGTGACATCTATCTCAAATTTGACAAAGTCCAGGGAGGCGAGAATGCCATCAAGGGCCTAAATGGCCGATACTTCGGCGGACGAATGATCGACGCGTCTCCTGTTGTAGATGCCGTCTACAGCAGTTTGTTCTCACGTACCCGGGCAATCTAAGCTAATATTTGGCTTGTCAACATCGCTCTCTAGGACTCTCGCAGGTTAGCAGAGTCCATATCAACTGGCTGAAGAGCACCACTAAGAATTCCTGGTGATCAACAGACTTGAAGTCTCCGCTTTTTCCGGATTTCCCTCCGTTGTCATCTAAAGACGATCCTCGAACATGACTCCCACCATAAAAAATTACGACTCTCATCTCACACATCAAGGTTTTCAAGTTTCGAAACATCACATATCCTTTTAACCAAATCACGGTGTCGCAGGTTTCCGCCCCATATCCCGACCTACCATATCTGGACCCGATGCGCACGCGCTCTCTCATCCGGATCAATGATCGAACTCCAGGTTCAGCACTCGTTTAGTCGCAAGGACCTTTGCTGATGTCTGTACCCTAGGAAGTCTTCCCCTTTTAATCGAGAAGGGGCAGCAGCCCAGTTTTGCACCTTTATTATCTGAATAGTTTGCTACAATATAGAATGTCTTGAGAGTGATGATTTATTATCTTTATTGTGACCATGTACAGTGATATACAAATGGTAAGGGAGATATGAAACATGGTCATTGCTTTACTGATAATGTTCAGTGGCCCTCATTATTACATCTCCTGCCTCATAAGGGACGCGGCGCGCCCTGTGTGATATTTACAGATCATATCGATTTACCAAAAGCAGAGTACCTGACGAGAAGAGACATGCTCTTGGGTCTAGTGTAAGTCTTGACGGTGGTCTCGAGGTATTGTGTAGTGTTGAAAAAGGTGAACTTGACCTCCCGATCTATTTCAACCATAAACTCAATCTGACGAGGACGTGCTCCGTGGTGTTAAATTGAAATGCATTGCTTGAACATATCAGCCTGTTTCAATCTCACTGTCTCATCCCTTCGCCTATCGTTTCGACGAGCGTTCGTCTCGATCTTTGTTTCCGAGTCTCAACTGGCTGATTGTCTACTCTTCTCTTGACCTTTGAGTCAGATACCGTAGCAAGTGCTATTGTGTCCAGAGAACTCTCTTTGAATTGTCCTATGGATCACTCTTAGCAAGGTTCCTAATCCCCAGCCTTGTTCAGTCAGGCCGAGCCCGGTTTCCTGAGCTGCTGGTGACTGGCAGTGCCAGTGTCAGTGCCAGGCAACCGAGGAGTCAGTCGCCTTGAAAGGGAACTTTTTAGGAGGATATGTTTTAGGACCTCTTTGGTTCTCTCTCTCTCTATTTCTGATTCAGTAGCTTCTGGATTCACCTACGATTGCAAAATAGAAGATCTTTGGTGATATTTACGTGAGAGCAAGCTGATATCTTTCATCTATTACCCCCGAGCCCCCCTTCAGTCTTGATTTCTCGCTTGGCAAACAAGAAAGGATTCATCCCGGAGTGTGCCAAACACAGGACGAATATTAAGCAAAAAAGTTTGGCTCGGGCTTGTTTTTTCAGCCTCTCTCCTACACTTCAGCCTCCTTAGTAAAGTGCACTCATCACTTGGCCTCCACACATTCCTATTTTCATTTCTATTGTTCCCTTACCGAGCATCGCGCTTTTCCTACCCTCCAATACTCGAGCAAGTTTGCTTTGTCGATGATGACACACGGATACAAAACATCCTCTTCTACAGACAGTCACTTCGCGCCGAGTCAACCCTCGTCAAAGTGGTCTTCCAGCATTGGGAGTCGTGATACCAAACCCTCCAACACGAACACCATGTTGAGTATCAACTTCTCGACACCGCTCGCGGGAGCTGCTCGATCCGAGAGGATCAAGCAGATGACCAACAATCACGTAAGTCAACGAATCTCTTGATTCTTTTGTCGCAGCATCCCCGAGTCAACCACTGACATCGTCTCACAGCCTGCCTTTGAAAAGGCTCGCATGTCACAAGAGATACTTGTCAAGATCCAGACATCTCTTCGCCGCATGCCTGGTGTTTCCTCCAAGGAATCCAACGAGATTATCACAAAGCTGCAAGAAGTCGGGCAAATCATCAGCTCAGAGACGAGTCAGCTTGTTGATGCACTTATGAACTTGACCCTCGATCAAGAGGACACGGATAAGGCCATCGCGCGAATGAGTATCGAGGCCAACCTTGCAAAGGCAGAGGCTGATGACCAGAGTCACAACCTGGGTAACCTTCGTACCGAGCTGGCGGATGAGAAGGGCAAGCGCCAAGAAGCGGAGGCCGAAGCCGCCAAACTCAAGGGTCATCTTGAGAAGTACATGGATGAGTTGAAGTCTCTCAAGGCGAAAGTCCTCGATGGTTGTTCTAAGGGTACCATATCGAGTGCCATTCACGATGAGTTGGTCAAGGTGTGCAGTTTGTTCTATATCACTCTAACAAAACTGACGAACGTATTTAGCATCTTGAAAACTCTATCAAGCACATAGAGAACCAGTCCAATGCTGGCCGATCCACGTTGCCCATGAGCAACTCCAGTCCTGGCTCCGTGGCACGCGCTCTTGAGACCATCGCTGAGGTATGCCCTGATAGAAACGCCACGCAGAAGTCTATCATGTCTCTGCGTCCTAATAGCGTGGACTCTCCCAACAAGGCTGCTGGTATCAGTGACGGCGCTCTTCAGTCTCAGCGCCCCTCCTCTGCAT